CAGACTGAACAGTTGTTCTTTCTCTTCTATTGTTGACATATGGCAAAAGCTACATCGAATCAAATTTCGTATAAACATATCTCGACGTCAATTAATTGTTTGATCATTAGAAGAGAAAAAAGTAGCACATGCATAATGTTGTATTTCGATGAGTAAGTGTTTTTCAATCGCATTCGATAACACGATTATAAACATCGGGAAAAAGAAAAATCTCCTTTCAATATGAGACAAGTAAATTCAGTCGCAGACTATACTATACGTACTAGTCAAACAATAAAATGAGATTTTAATTGAGACGAAAGTGATGAAAAATCGAAATTTGTTGTGTATCAAACATACAACAAAAAGAACAATTGAAGTGACGTCTACTATTCGAAAGTTAATCATACTCAATGCGTATACATATATATGCATATGCTTGTCCCAAGTTTTAGTTCTATTACTATTATTGTAGACGCAATGTGGCAAACGTGCATCGATAATAATGTTCAACTTATCATTTCCAAGATTTGCTGATTTTGTCATCTTCTATTCCTTCTTCTTCTTTTCGAACTTCGGTAAGTAATGAGTCTCTGGAGAATTATTGTCATTACGTTCTTTTCATTGTAGTTTCAATAACAGATGCGTCGACGGCGACGACGACAATAAATGTGGTCTGTGGAACGGATGTTGAGCTGACTTGTCCAATTCGTTCCGTAAAAAAATCCGATGAAGTGGTACGTCCTTGTTATACATAGAAAGCTCGATTAATTGAGCAAAAAAAAGGAATGCAACTCCCTACTGAAAATCAAACTTCTATTTCCCAGGAAAGAAGAGCATCTTGAATTTTAGATTTCATGGTTTCGTCCAAATTCATCACAAAATCATCTAACCTTTATTTCTATTGGTGATATTCTTCTTCCGGAATACGCCTCGATCAGTCGTTTTAATCTCATTTCCTCTCCATCATCCATCTCACGTTTATTAATAAATAATGTTCTACTCGAAGATCAAGGTTACTATAAATGTAAATCAAGCTCAACTGGTCAACACAGTGTTGAACTAACTGTTAATTGTATGTTGATTTTTACAACGTTAATCATCGCAAATAAAGTTTTCTACACCTAGCTCGACCATATCTGTCTCCGTCATCACCCATTCTTCTATATCCAGTCAATCGAACATTTTCTATCACATGCTCATTGTTATGCGAAGAATCAATTGAACTTAATCAATTAACTTGGCTCGTTAATGGACATGCATTAAGTGAAGATCGACATGAATTTTTTATTGAAACAGTCTCTTTTAATACACAACGTTTAACAATTTTCTTAAATAAGAAAGCACATCAATTTAGTCAAGCCAACTACACTTGTAAATACAATGGCAAAGAATCTTCAATCTTTGTGAGACGACGAACTAGTAACTTCTTTTGTTTTCTCGACCTGTTTGATTTCTTTATGTAATTTTATTTTAGAAGAAGAATTGCATCGCCTACCGCGTCAACAAGGCTCATCTGCTGCTTATTTACTCCAAACTGCATTTGATACAGCCCATACACATTATCACGCTTCTCACCAGTATCTTCTCGCATTTTTCTTGCTATTATTAACAATACTTTATTGTGCAATATGATCCCATCCGATATACTTGTTCGTCATCCTCTCCTTCTTCTTGGTGGTTTTTAGTGGCTGATTTTACAATAAATTTGAACTCGAACTGTGTGATGAAGACGAGAGGATGTTCAGTGCTGTCTGTAACGCTCGATAAGTGAATCCGATCTGGTCAGTATTTGTTGTCGATCGATTGGTGAGAATGAGTACTATTTTCCGGACAGTTTCTTCGATGAATGCTTTCTTTTCCAATTCACCCAGTGAGTCAGTATCACAAGTCAGATCAACTGGTGAATTCCCGTCAGATGAGCTGGCAGAATATCAAATCTGACTTGGATACGATAAGATAAGATCGGATGGAAAAAACTTCTTTGGTTCCGACTCCCGGCTAGTGCACAAGATACACGAAAGAGTTGCTTAGACTTAGAAAAACATACTAAATGTATAATATCTCATCTAGGAAAAATTCATGAGTACAAAGTGAAGCTCAAGTAACGTTTTATACGTAATCAAGACTGATATTCGTACGAGTCTGTATGCAAGAACTTGCTCGAATTCTTGGTCGAATGAGTGATTAGCAGCCTGCTTAGTTTAATAGTGAAAACACATACTACACAGAATATGTCTAATATTGTCCTACGACGATGAAGTAAACATGAAACTGAATTTAAAATAACACGATTGGTGAAAAGAAAAGACAGATCCGAATAAAAAGACAGTGTGAAGGTCTATAGAGAACAGAGCATCGGCACAAATAAATGAAGCTTTGTCAAATCCTAAACGACGACACTAAAAAGCTTTCAATAGAAAAGTCGAAACCTATCAGCAAGAACAAAAAATTGGAAACAACAGCTATTCATATCGTCACAATTGCATTCGTAAGTCATCCGTTATCAGTCATGGGATATGTAATTATTAACGATCTCTAACCAAGGCTCTACCAAATCATCTACTCGCTGCTGAATGATATCGGCCACAATGAACATATAACCTTTATTGTAGATAGTCCATTCGTGTCCATCTGTTGGTGAAATAAAGCGGAGTGCCATGTTGCTCCTGTTGTTATTGTCGGGGACGAAACGAAATTCACTACCCCAAATGAGACTGCTTGTTGACTCATTCGTTGCTGTTCGTTNTGATTTACCACGAGACAATGTCCATTGCCGACCAGACGTACGCGACGAGTTTGTGGATTGTACATGAATAGCGAAGAATTGCTGTTACAAAGATAGCGTTGACTATCATCAGGAGGACGTGGAAAGTATACATCATCTATGAATGAAATAGATAACAAAGCGATGTACTTACTTTAGACAGACGAAAAGCGACCCCTTCATCTCGGCTATATTCCTGACTGACAGGAGGCTATAAATAATAACTTCGTTTGTTGTTAGAATTTCATAGTATGCAAGCCACTACTGAGCTACCATTAGTTTTCGAGTAGCACGAATGAGCATGCAGTTATGCATCAAGACATTACCCGCTTACTCGCCTGACCAGCTGGGACGTTAGCGGAGGAAAACAAGAGTACATCGTTAGTTGGATTCATTCTCGAAAGACGTACTATATGTGCTTGTATGAAACATAGAGGACTCCACAAGAGAGATATCTACGACAATTTTGCTCGATTCAATAATTCATAACATCCGTGTGTATAGCTAAATTTGAAGTGTCTGATAACTATTTATCGAAAAGAAAATTGAGATATTTTTGGCACTCAACCGTACGGTAAAGAAACAATCTATTTATATTATTGAATAACTGCAGTGATCTACTGAATTATTTATCTTTAGTTTTGAGCAGCTACGATGTTTTATAAACTAATAACTCTCTGTAGAACCTATATCTATCGCTTTTCATGTATCAGAAATAGATACACGCTTTAATCACATTGCTATCCAAAGGGCATTGTTTATTCAAGACAGAATCAGATTTTCTCTTACAGATTACGCGTTTGATAGTCTATCTATGCTTCTTCCTAAGCATTTTCAATACAGTGATCATTCTAGACATTGATCTCTAATGATACTCCTACTTACAAACCTTTCGTTTCCGGGTAAGCTTCAAGAAAACGACCAGAAGGGTCTTCTGATGATTGATCTGTGGCACAGCGAATTTGTTGACCATTCAATTCAAATCCTTGTGACCAGCGAAAAAAGATTGGTGTCGTGTTGGCATTTTTTATAATTATAGCGTCGTCGAGGACACCAGCTTGAATTTCGACAATAAACAGCCAGAAGAAAAGGTAAATATATCTGAGTTGGTGTCGATTGATCATTGCTCTCTTTTGATTTAAGGTGTGCTTCTATGCATGAACTGAAGGATACTAAGTTGGATATGAGTGAGTGAGAGAGTGAATAAATCTATTCTATTCTATTCTTCTTTCCTGTTTCAATGTAATTGNACGAGACAATGTCCATTGCCGACCAGACGTACGCGACGAGTTTGTGGATTGTACATGAATAGCGAAGAATTGCTGTTACAAAGATAGCGTTGACTATCATCAGGAGGACGTGGAAAGTATACATCATCTATGAATGAAATAGATAACAAAGCGATGTACTTACTTTAGACAGACGAAAAGCGACCCCTTCATCTCGGCTATATTCCTGACTGGCAGGAGGCTATACATAATAACTTCGTGTGTTGTTAGAATTTCATAGTATGCTAGCCTCTGCTGGGCTACCATTAGTTTTCGAGTAGCACAAATGAGCATGCAGTTATACATCAAGACATTACCCACTTACTCGCCTCACCAGCTGGGACGTTAGCGGAGGAAAACAAGAGTCGATCATGAGTCAGGTTCATTCTCGAAAAACGTACTATATGTGCTTGTATGAAACATAGAAGACTCCACAAGAGAGATATCTACGACAATTTTGCTCGATTCAATAATTCATAACATCCGTGTGTATAGCTAAATTTGAAGTGTCTGATAACTATTTATCGGAAAGAAAATTGACATATTTTTGGCACTCAATCGTACGGTAAAGAAACAATTTATTTATATTATTGAATAACTGCATTGATCTACTGAATTATTTATCTTTAGTTTTGAGCAGCTACGATGTTTTATAAACTAATAACTCTCTGGAGAACCTATATCTATCGCTTTTCGTGTATCAGAAATAGATACACGCTTTAATCACATTGCTATCCAAAGGGCGTTATTTATTCAAGACAGAACCAGCTTTTCTCTTACAGATTACGCGTTTGATAGTCTATCTATGCTTCCTCCTAAGCATTTTCAATACAGTGATCATTCTAGACATTGATCTCTAATGATACTCCTACTTACAAACCTTTCGTTTCCGGGTAAGCTTCAAGAAAACGACTAGAAGGGTCTTCTGATGATTGATCTGTGGCACAGCGAATTTGTTGACCATTCAATTCAAATCCTTGTGACCAGCGAAAAAAGATTGGTGTCGTGTTGGCATTTTTTATAATTATAGCGTCATCGAGGACACCAGCTTGAATTTCGACAATAAACAGCCAGAAGAAAAGGTAAGCATATCTGAGTTGGTGTCGATTGATCATTGCTCTCTTTTGATTTAAGGTGTGCTCTTCTATGCATGAACTGAAGGATACTAAGTTGGATATGAGTGAGTAAGAGAGTGAATAAATCTATTCTATTCTTTTCTTCCTTTCTGTTTCAATGTAATTACTACCAATACACTGATCTTTCATCCAACAATCCTCTCGATCGAGCATCAGAAAGATTTCATTTCTCCTTTCTTTTGGTCCTATCGTCAAACGTGATCTCAGTATATGAACAAGTGAACTATGTTTTTTGCGAAAGAAAAGAACGATGATAGCAGTACACTAAGTCGTTGGTTCAATATCGAGAGGTCAAGGAACAAAAGAATCTATTCAAGGTTGAACAGAAAAAAATAGTGATACGTGCATATACTATTGGTAGAAAAAAGTGAAAGTATTGAATGAGAGAGAAGGTGGATGATTATATATCGTATTTCAATTTAATAGATACAGAGGTTGATGAAAAGGTGCTTTTATCATATGGTTTATTTGTTGACATTCGTTTTTACCGTATTCGTATTAGAATTCACAATAGGAAACACACAAGAAGTCAGATGTGATAATAGTAAGGCGAAGAACAATAGGCACACATATCAATGATTTTTTAAAATAAGGTAGAATGAAATGACGGTCGATGACATCAACGAATATAACAGGGCTCGAAGTGAGGTACTATTTCATGATATAGATCCCCAGGTCGAATAATCCGGCGTGGAAACGGCTGGTTCAGCGGTTTTCCGCAGAATTCATGGAAGCAGTAGTCCCGATGAGCGAATCCGATGACCGGGCTTACCTGGTTCGAGCCGCAACCGACAGGAACATGTCGAAATCGGTAGCTGGAAACCGTTATCGCATTTCTCCATCGAATTCCTCGCATTTTTCGGGCGTGTTACGCTCAGAAAAGGCAAGTTTCCTCATGGATTTTGTTGGAAATTCTTGAAATCCTGCTTCAGGAACCATCGTCCTGGGTTCATCTCGCTTCAGTTTGTAAACACATTTTGGACACAGTTCGTAACACGTCTTGTACATCGAAAATGTATACATTAAGAATACGTTCTACACTGTAAAAAACGGAGTTTTATCGAACCAACGAAAAGATCTTTCCTTAGATATAGGAGGCGATCTTTCCAGCAAAATTTCGTCTCGAAAGACTAGATCAAAGGTTCGGTAACAAAGGCTCCTACGAGGGTGTTAGGGTGAGGGTGTGTGGGTGAAAATGGCTGACTATGCGTCGAAGATGTATGATTTTATGTGCCCGATATAATATACTGCAATATTGAGGCAACCATGTGTAGAAAAAGCGTGCTATTTACTGTATACACAGA